AGCGCGACCGTGTGACAATTTCAAAACAATGTTTGGAGATGTTTCAACGTAATCCAGATAAATTTCTGTGTCGATTCATTACTGTGGACGAAACATGGATCCATTACTTCACACCCGAGACGAAGGAACAGTCAAAACAATGGACTTTACCGGGTGAACCAACTCCGAAGAAGGCGAAGACCGTGAAGTCGGCCGGAAAGGTAATGGCCACAGTTTTTTGGGATGCACGCGGTATAATTCGATTACCTTCCATCGAAGCAAACGATTAATGACGATTACTACACAGCCTTATTGGATCGTTTCAACAACATTTTAAAGAAAAAACGTCCCCATTTGGCGAAGAAGGAAGTGCTCTTGTATCAAGACAATGCATGGGTTCACGGTGCCCGACACCGATGGCCAAATTCAACGAATTCCGCTACGAATTGCTTCGCCATCCAGCATATTCGCCAGATTTAGCCCCCTGCGTCTATTTCCTGTTTCCAAACCTGAAGAAATGATTCGGAGGAAAGAGATTCATCACTAGAGAGTAGATCATCACCGAAACAGAGGTTTATTTTGAAGGGTTGGACAAATCATATTATTCGGACGACTTAAAAAAGTTGGAGAATCATTGGATCAAGTGTATCGAGCTGAAAGAAGACTATGTTGAGAAATAAAAATAAATCGATCAAAAAAAATGTGTTTTACTATGTTTTTCTAAAAACTTATTGACTTGTCCTCGTATTAAAGACCCTTAGTCCTGGGCAAATTTTCGTGACTATGAATCTCGGGAGCCTCGAGGGTAAATGAAGAACGATAACGTTTACCGACAGGCGACAATTAATAAAAATTTATGATTATTAACATAAATATTTTAATGATACGTCATTAAATTCATGATTTTTTATTATATAAAAACTGTATAAATAAGTATGCATACTTTTAATCATATAATATCTTATATATTGCTGAAAATTTTTTCTCTGCAGTTATCATCTCTATTGATAAAATTATTAAAATCGAATGATATTAAAATCACAGTTTAAAGTAAAAATCGAGTATTATTAAGTTTTAAACATATACGAGGTCTGGCTATTAAATAACGAGACTGCGCGCGCAGAAGGCGTCCTAGAGGGGTAGGGTGGGAAACGAATGCAGCGTTGGATAGCTGGAAGTGTCTACTATTCCAGTACGAAAACACGTTTTTGTCGCAGTAGTAGTATTTTTTCTATAGAGGTTAGAAACGAACTTGTTTTTTTCTCGTGCCGATAACAATGTGTGACGAAAAACACGAGCAACGGATCAATGTGAAATTTCTCGTTAAATTAAAAAAAACTCCGACTGAGTGCTATAAGTTGTTGAAAGAGGCCTATGGTGAGAATTCTCTATCTCGTGCGCGTGTTTTCGAATGGTATAAACGGTTTTCTGAAGGCCGAGAGAGCACCGAAGATGACCAACGTCCAGGTCGACCTGTCTCTGTTTCAACTCCGCAAACAGTGACCAAAATCAATGAAATTGTGCGCGGAGATCGTCGTATGAGCATTCGGATGATTGCTGAGACTGTAAACGCCGATAAAGAAACTGTCAGAAAAATTTTACATGACGAATTAAACATGAAGAAAGTCTGTGCGAAGTTGGTCCCAAAAAATTTGACCCCTGACCAAAAGCTCGTCCGTCAACAGATCTGCTCAGATTTTCTTGAGAGGTTAGATGAAGAGCCTGAATTGATGGAAAACATCATCACTTGCGATGAAACCTGGATATTCCAATACGATGTTGAAACTAAGCGGCAATCCATGCACTGGAAAACTCCTGCATCGCCAAGAATGAAAAAAGCAAGGATGTCGAAATCAAAATTTAAAGCCATGCTAATCGTTTTTTTCGACATCAACGGCATCGTGATGACTGAATGGGTTCCAGAGGGTCAAACTGTAAACCAAACTTACTATTTGACAGTTTTGGCAACACTGCGAGAGCGAGTTTGTAAGAAACGGCCGGAGTTGTGGAAAAACAAGTCGTGGATCTTACACCAGGACAACGCACCTGCCCATAACGGGCTGTTTGTGAAGCGTTATTTAGCCTCTAGAGGCACTCCAGTGCTCGAACACGCGCCGTACTCGCCTGATTTAGCACCCTGTGACTTTTTCCTGTTTCCGAAGATCAAGTCTGCCTTAAAAGGAACCCGGTTCGAGTCAATGGAAAAGGTGAAGCGAAAATCGGCGGAGCTCCTAAATGCTCTTATAAAAGAAGACTTCCAGCATTGCTTTGACCAATGGAAAAAACGAATGGAACGGTGTATGGCGAGGGGAGGGGAGTACATTGAAGGGGAGCATTCAATTGTAGAATAATTTTTAAAATAAAACTCGTTTTCATAAGCAGTCTCGTTATTTAATAGCCAGACCTCGTATACATATCTACAAAACTAATAAATAATAAAATTAGTACCGTATTACTAGTTTATTACTCTTAATCACTTAAATTTTAACAGGCACGCAAATTTCCATAAGCGTCGAGGGTCTTTAATAGTACTTGTCGGTGGCCTACAGACTATATTAATAAATTCTTACTTAATGATAACTTTCGGGTCAACGTTGGCAGTATGTCAGCAACCAGTTGTCACGTCAACCACGATGCGGCGTCGGCTCATGTTAGCTGATTTTTGTCTAAAAACAACCTTAGGCTGCCATCGGACCAGCATTGGGCCAACGTTGTCAACATGTTAATAACCGATTGTTATGCCAATCACGGCGCGACAGCAAGCCAAGTTATGTTAACTGATTTTTACTTAATGAATGACTTTCAAGCCAACGTTGGCAATATCTCGATAACCGGTTGCCGTGCCAATCATGACGTCGGCCCAAGCTATGTTAGCCGACTCTTATCTGAAGACAGTTTTAGGCCTGTCGGGTCAACGTTGGGTTAACATTGGCAGTATGTCAGCAACTAATTGTCATGATCAATCACGGCGCGACGCCGGATCAAGCTATGTTAAACGATTCTTACTTAATAACTACTCTTGGGCCAATGTCGGTAATCGGTTGTCATAACAATGACGGCACGACGTTGGTTCAGGCGAGAGCGGCGTATTTGCACACAGTACAATTGGATACTTAGCAAATGCGCACGTTGTAATTGCACACCGTACATTTGCGCACAGTTCATTTGCACCGTACAGTTGCACACACAAAAGTTGCGCACACAAAAGTTGCGCACACAAAAGTTGCATACACTACTTACATCGGTCTGTTCCTAGTAATTTTTCACTGATTCTCAAATGAGATTATATTAATTTAAATTAGTCAATTGATGATGTGAGCAATTGATACAAATTCTGCGAACTGTTCAGTTGCGCACACGAAAGTTATACACACCACTTAATTTAAACGGAATGCACAACTGAACAGTTTGCAGAGTTTGTATTAATTGTCCACATCACCAACTGACCAATTTAAAATAATATAATCTCATTTGTGAATCAGTGAAAAATTACTGAGAATAGATCGATATGAGTGGTGTGTGTAACTTTCATGTGCGCAACTTTCGTGTACGCAACTTTCATGTGTGCAATTGATCGATGTGCAAATGAACTGTGCGTATCTTTATGTGCGCATTTTTGCGTGCGCATCTGAACGGTGTGTAAATAAACAGTGTGCAATTGAATCATGTGCATTATTATCATGTGTTCAATTGCAACGTGCGCATTTGCAAAATGTCTAATTGTATTGTGCGCAAGTGAATGCCACTCAGCTTAAGCTATGTTAGCCAACTCATCTGAAAGATACTTTAGGCCACCATTGGTCGGGCCAACATTGGCAGTAGGTTGGCAACCGGTTGTCACGTCAATCGCTGCGCAACATCGTCCCAGGCTAACCGACTTTTATCTGAAGATAATTTTAAGCCATCGTCGAGTCAATATTGGGCCAACATTGGCAGTATATCGGCAACAGGTTGTCACATCAATTAAGATGCGACGTTGATCCGTGAGTTGTCCTGAAATAAGAGTCGGTTAAGACTCTTAAATAATCATCACAGTCATATTGAATCATGAGATCAGAAACGAGAAATGACACGTTAACTTTTATTACGTACCATTTATTACGTCACGATTCAACATGGCTGTAGTAACTACTCAGAAACATTGCTTAGTCCAACGTTTTGCCGTGATTGGCGTCTGGTTACTATTATACTACTAACGTTGGTCCAAAGTTGGCCTGACCATAACCTAAAGTTGACATTAGATAAGAGTCGGCTAACATAGCCTGGACTGACGTCGCGCCGTGTTCGATTAAAAACAATCTGTTTACTGTGATATTGCCAACGTCGACGCAACGTTCAACATCGAGGATAAGAGATTCGACAAACCTCAATAAGAAGTAACATAATTTATCAGTTGAAAAAATGGTGTAGCATATAAGGTAGGAGGCTCTTGATCCAGAGATCCTAGGTTCGAATCTCTCAAGGTGTGTTTTTCAAAATAAATTTAAATATCTAATTTCAGGTAAAATCTCATACACTTATAAACTCATACACTTATAAAATCATACACTTATAAACATCTTGTATTTAAAACATCTTTAATTAAAAAATAATTACTTTTTTTTACCTTATATTGCACAGTGTCGGCTTGATATTGATATTCAACGTTGGGCCAATGTGGATGATCAGTGTCGGTTAGACACAGGCTTTTAATGTTGGTCCGATTTTATTATTTGGATATTATGCCGACATCGGTCCGATGTTACAACCAAAAATTTATAAACAATCTATGTACGGTTCTATAACTGACTCAACGATGGACCAACGTCGGATACCAACTTCCGAATGTCGGGCCTGTATTGGTTGTAACATCGAGTCGGTATAATATCCAAATTATAAGATCTTATAATTACAAGATCTTATATTAGCCCACCGTTGGCCCAGTTATAGAACCGTACATGGGTTGTTTATAACTTTTATATTTATAATTTTTAATGTGTTATAACGTATTTAAAATATTTAAATTGTAAAAATAAACGTACCACTCGTGTTCCATTCAGCTCTTTCGCCATTTATTTCACCCCTAAGACACCTCTCGACGTATGTCAAGGGATCAAGCCTGGCTGCTAGAACCTCGCGCAAGAGAGCAATGTATGCTATGGCCAGGCGCAAGGTATCAATCTTTGACAGTCGTTTTTCGTAAGGAAAGGTTGGCACATGGACCCGAAGCTCGTCGAAAGCCGAGTTGATGCTGCTAAAAATTGCAATCACACTGACAATCCGCCCGCGCGTATCTTGTTCGAAAATATAAAATAAATATTATTGTATATATATATATATATACATATAT